AATCTATTTAAGTCTTTTATGTGCTAATCCCCAGATATTTTATGTGTTTTGCAATTATTTGGATTTTCCTTTTTATTATTGCTTCTTGGGATTTATTACTATTATTATATAGAGATACTATTGATTTTTGAGTGTATATTTTGTAGCCTGAAATTTTGCTAAAGTTTTGTCTCAATTAGTATTCTTGCTGATTCGCTGGGGGTTTCCAAGTAACCTGTCATATCATCAGCAAACAGGGATAATTTAATTTCCCCTTCACCTATTCCTTTAATTCCTTTCTCTTGTCTTACTGCTACTGCTAACATTTCTTGTATCATATCAAATAATTGTGGGGAGAATGAGCACCCTTCCTTTACTCCTGTGTTTACTGGAAAAGGTTCTAGTGTATCCCATTGCATATGACACTTGCTTTGGGTTTTAGATAGGTGCTTTTTATGATATTAAAAAAAAAAGGTTTCTCTTTGCTTATATTTTTGTGGGATTTTAAACATAAGAATGTTGTACTTTGTCAAAGTCTTTTTCTGCATTTATTGAAATGCTCATGTGGTTTGGGATATTTTGGTTTTTAATATAATTATGTTGATTGTATTCCTAATGTTGAACTACTCTTGCATCCCTGGTATAAATCTCACTTGATAAATCGCTGTAATCTGTTGATAGGATTTTGTTTAAAATTTTTGTATCAACGTTCATTAATGATATTGGCCTACAGTTTTCTTTCTATGTTTTAACTTTCCCTGGTTTAGGTATTAGGACTATATGTGTCTCATAAACGGATTCTGGTAGGGTTCTTTTATTCTCAAATTTTGAAAAAATTTGCCAAATCTGGGTACTAACTTCTTTAAAATTTTGTCTGATCCCAGGGTTTTTTTTTCTTTTTCTTTGATAATTCCTTCACAGCTAGATCTATTTCTTTTTCTGAGACTGAGTTATTCAAGATCTCTTTCTGGTCTTCTGATACTTTGGGTATTTTATATTTTTGAAGGTATTCTATTTCTTTTGTATTCTTAGTTTTGTTAGCATATAATTGTACATAATATGCTCAGAATATTATTTTTATTTCTTTGTTTTGCTGTGATTCCACCTTGCTCATTTGCTGTTTTCTTGATTTGATTTTCTACTCTCTTCTTTTAAATCAGATTAGCTAAGAATTTATCAGTTTTCTTAGTCTTTTAAAAAAAAGTTTTTAGTTTTACTTATCATTTCCTTGCTTCTTTTATTTCCAATTTATCTATTTCTCCTCTAATTTTCAATATCTTCTTTGCTGTGCTTATTTTACATTTATTTGTTGATTCTCTAATTTTTAAAAATGCACAGTTTATTACTCTTCCTTTTTAAATTGTATGATTGTAAGGACGTGACTTTTCCCTGAGAACTTCTTTAATTGCACCTCAGAAATTGTTTCATCATTATAATTTTCTTTTACACAGTTATTGTTTCTATGATTTGTTTTTTAGCCCACTTATTACTTAAGATTTCATTGTTAAGTCTCCATTTGGGTCTGTATCTTTTGGTTGTGATTCCTGACCCAATTTCTATTCTTATTGCATTATGGTCTATGAAGGATGTGTCGGTTATTTCTGCTCTTTTATATTTTTTTGTAATATCTCTGTACCCTATTATATAGTCAATTTTTGTAAAAGTTCCATGTGGTACAGAGAAAAGATGTATATTCTTTGTTGTTGTTGTTGAGTGGTTTCAGTTGTGTCTGACTTCATGATTCCATTTGAAGTTTTCTTGGCAAAGATACTGGAATGGTTTATTATTTTCTTCTCTAGCTTATTTTACATATAAGGAAACTGAGGCAAACAGGGTTAAGTGACTTTTCCAGGATCACATAGCTAGGAAATATCTGAGGCAACATTTGAACTCAGGAAGAAGAGTCTTCCTGATTCCACGCCCGGCACTCTCCACTGTACCACCGAGTTGCCCACAATCCAAGCATTAGTAACTCCATTTTATAGATGAAGAGAAAGCAATTCACACACAGTTCACCAGTCTAGGTCTCTGCCCAGCTGACTTTTAGGTGGTCACAACTGACCCCAGCTGGATGCTGTGTTCTTCCTTCAGGTTTGGTGGAGTGCTGCACAGCTCCACTCACACAGTGTCTTATCCCAGTGACCTGTGTCACTTCCTCTCTTCCTTAGTTCTTTGGCATGGCACAGGTGTTCACAGCCTACTTTCCTTGACACCAGCAACTCTAAGGTATGGGCAGTTTAGAGCTTTGTAGCATTGGTGCTTCTGGGTTACAGATCCTGGCAGGCTTTTTGTTCCTGAAGGGCTGTGGCCAGTGTCATGTCACTAGGTCTGCTAGTGTGGCCTTACTGCGGGTAGTGTAGGAGGCTGAGGAGGAGTGCTGAGTGAGTTCAGGGTCATTAAGTATCAGTATCTGGGTTTTTTTTTAATCTTCTTTTGGATTTTTGTCCTAGAGTATGGAAACCACTAAAGTTGTTTTATTGTTGGTGCATGGTTCCTATTTTGAAGAGTTTTGAGAAATCATGGGGATTGAAGAAAATGTCCAATTGCATCTTGTTGCTCTGGTGACCTGGAGGTTGACTCATTCTCTTCTAAATACATATGCACCTTTTCTGATTCCCATCTTCCCTTAAAATTCCTTTTGTGAAGCTTTTTCAACTATGGTTATAATTTGGCATGGAACAATGGGAGGCTTTATACCAGAGGGCCAACATGGGTGTAGGGTAAAAGGACTCCCCACAATGATACTGGGTTTCTCCTTGATTTGCACCATATTACACATCTGCTCACTCATGCCCCACTCACACGTCCACTTTCCCATCCAAGCTCCCAAGGGAATACTGTTTGGAATCTGTGGGTTTCAGGTCACCTTCTTTTCTAGTGCAATTATACCCATGGTGGTACTATACTATTCTTTCTTCTTACCTTCACCCCCATTCCCAATCCCAGTTGAATTCCCCCAAATGCCAGTATTCCTAGTTAGAATCCTCTTAGAATTCCTAGTTGGAGTCTATAACCATCCTAGAGTCCTAGAAGAGGCAAGATGATACCCAGGTGGCTAAAACGTTATTTATTATTACCCTGTTCCTTAAGATTGTGATATCTATTTGAGAGTGTAAAACTAAATGATTGGAAACATCCTGTTTTTATGCTTCATATAGAGGTGAGGAAAACTTGGCTGGAAACCAGTTCAAATGAAGAATTTAGTAGACTGCAAGCTCAAAATAAGGCAGTTAAAGCTAATGTGGCCTTAGGCTATATAATGGAAAAAGTGCTACATCTGGAATCAGATGTGGGTTTGGCACTTGCTGTATGACAGTAGGCAAGTCACTTACCCTCTCTGGGTCTCAGTTTCCTCATCTGTAAAATGAATGGGTTGGACTAAGGAACTTCCAATATCCCTTCTAACTCAGATGAAGCAGCCTTTCATGTGTACTCTTTCTTGATCTCCACTGGCTGCCAGTATCCCCTCCCTCCCACAGCTACCTTCATTCATTTTGTATACTTACATAGGAACTTGGTGTATCCCTCATTAGAATGTAGGCTGCCTGAGGGCAGGCACTGTTTCACTTTTATTTTTTGTATACCAAATGTTTGCTATTCCTTGGCTGACAATAGGTATTTAATAAATGCTTCTTTATTGGTTGATTATATCTTATGACCTTATGGAAAAGGATGAGAAACTATATGTAGGAAGATCATTGAAGGAAACGAGGATGTTAGTCCAGAGAAAAGAAGACTTAGGGGTACATGATAGCTGTCTCCAAATACTTGACTTGTTAAATATTTTAAGAATCAAAGTAGAAAACTGTTGAAGGACTTCCTATCCATTAGAGTTGTCCAAAAATGGAATGGGCTTCCTGGTGATCAGGAGGAGGTAGTCACTTGTTGGGAATATAACAGATACACTTTGAGTAGTGATATGTTAGGTTCTTTCTAATTCTGTAATTCTACAACCATTGAAAATTGAGATCTTTTCTTGTGAATCTAATTTATTCAAGAGGCAGTTGATGATGTAGGACGAGAGATCAAGAAAAAGAATAAATCTGGAGATACATATCTAGAAATCATCTGCATTGAGATGCTAATTTGAGTTCTTGGGAGCTGATAAGGTTACCAAATGAAGTAGTATGGATGGAAAAGAGAAGAGGGCTGAGGGCCAAGTCGTGGGGACAACTACAGTTAGTGGGTGTCACCTGAAGATCTACCAAAGGAAACTGTGGAGCAGTCAGACAGATAGGAGAACTGGAAGAAGCAATGCTATGAAAATCTAAAAGAGAGTCAACAGGAGAGAGTGACCGACAGTGTGAAAGGCTGATGAAAGAGTGTTAAGAGGGTGGGGACTAAGAAAAGGCCATTAGATCTGGCACTTAAGAGATCATCTGTAACTTTGGAGAGAGTAGTTCCAGTTGAACAATGAGGCTGGTAGCCAGACTGCAGAGCATTTAGAAGAGAAGGAGAAGATAGGAAGTGAGGCATACAGTATAGACAGATTTCTCAAGGAGTTTAGCTGAGAAGGGGAGACATATAACATGATACATGCTTGGATCAAGTGAGAATGAGGGAGACACGAGCTAGTAGGGAAAATCTGAAAATTAGAGAGAGTAAGGATGACAGTGGAGACAATCTGCTGGAAAAGTTGGGAGTGTTTGGAACCAAGGATGCATATTCAACGCTAGGTAAATTTAGGTGGTAAATAAAGCCACATGATAATCTCATTTTAAACTATGCAGTCAATATTTGGATTGGAACTCATGTCCAAGCAGGAAACATTTTTGGGTCTGAGGAACCCCTAAACTAGCTCAAATAATAGTCCTGTTTGGGTTTTTTTCTGAACCTGTTCCCAATCTCTATTTAGCCCTGGGCAGTGCATGCTGTCTAAGCTTCAGGAAGCAGAATAACTGCAAGATAGCGTTCAGGAATTATTTCATCATTTGCTTCCCAGGCACACCCCAAACCTGTTTTAAATAGTGTGATGTGGGTTAAACACAAGAAAGGCTGGGACCTATCTCCCTTTACTTGACTCCACCTCTATTTCAGAGGCTATCCAGGGGCCAGATTACGCAGAAAGCTAAGAGAGGATCAGCACAGCTTGGGTCCTTTAAGCAGCAGAGTTTAGAGAGGGAGGGAGGAAAAGAGGGAAGTGTTTGGGAGGCTCCACCTTTCATTCCAGCAGAGTGGATGGCCAGAACTAGTGTGAGTCAGGCACCAAAGCTTAGATTCCCAGAGGTGAAGAGGATCTTAAAGAATTTCCTCTGCCGTCAGATTCTACTCTTTTGGACACACTACTGCTCTCTTACTCTTGGCAAAACCTCTGAAGGGTCTGGACTCCCTCAGTCTGCCCTTTTTGGTATTGGTGTGAGGGCTGGATTTCCCTGATGTATGGCAAGAGCCCGACGTGTGCTGTGCTTCTCTTTTGCATACAACTCACAGGTAAGGAACGCGGCCTTTTATTCTGTCTTCCTCCTCTGCCTTCTTCCTGCTGAAGTCAGTTGGTGAATTTAAGAAGTCGTGAGAATTAATGTCAGTGAGGCTGAACTAGGTTTTTTTTTGGTTTGACTCCACTGAAACTCAAATTAGTGTGCTGCTTTTTGGGAACTGCTTTTGGACAAACAGGTTTAGGTGTGTTCAGGTTGCCAGTGATTCAGACACAGTGAGCGCTTTCTGATCTCAAGTTACACATTATTTTCTTCTTGACTACTATCAGGCTGCAACTCCAGACAGGATTTGGCTCAGTATATTGCAAGTAAATATGTACCTGGTTTTGTCTGGGACTAAATATACAAAACTACAAAAGTCACACACATGGAGCAGTGTGGTTTTGAAACTAACTGGTTTTGAACATGCACACAATCATTTGGGTATACACATTCCTGGAAGGCACATGAGAAGCAGCAGAGTATAGGAACAAGGAAGTGGATTTGAAGTCAGAGTAAATGGATTTGAATTCGAATTTGAATTTGAATTTTTCACTGTTTGCTTCCTATGTGATTTTGGGCGAATTCCTTTAACTTTCTGGGTTTCAATTTCCTTATCTGAAAGATGAGGGCAGTAGATTAGATGATATCTAAGATACCTTCCTGTTCTAGATCCTGTGATGGCAAAAATAACTCTAGGCAAAATACCTAGAGGATTAGCAGCTTTGAGGAAATACATTTTAGGATACTTTAGTGTTTATTTAATGAACTCCTGTAGCATGTTAGGAACTATATGACAAAGTTGCTCTCTTGTGAAGGCATTTTCAATGAACTGCAAAACAAATATGATGTCATTAACTAAATACCACAAAACTTATACCCTCTTATAGTTATGTTCTGTCTTGTTTTTATTCTCCAATATTACAATTTGATAAATTTTTGCTACATGAGAAGTGAGTATGCAGCACGTCAGGCTGCTTCACAACAATGTGTGACTTTAGTTTTTTTTTTTTTCTTAAGTCGGTAAACTTCTCATGGGGTATAGAAGTGTTCTGAATTCTGGGAATGTGACTAGCTGCAAGTTTGGATAAACGGACATCTCAGTTTGGTTGTTTGACCTATCTGGACTGTTCTGTTGGGAGCTTCAGAATTCCACAAACATCCACTTATGGGGGTGGGAGGAAAGCACGTTGTACAGCACCATATCAATGTAAACTGTTACTGTTAGCAGAACATTTGGCGTGGCTTAACACGGTTAGGCAGTTTTTTCTATAACACATCTCTTCCTTGATCCTTCTCTTCTCCTTTGCTTATCTTTGTAGTTGTTTGGCACATAGCAGCTGTGGAAGTTTACACCTCCGGAGTAGTAGAGGCTGTTAATGGGACAGATATTCGACTAAAATGTACTTTCTCCAGTTTCTCCCCTGTGGGTAATGCCCTAACAGTAACCTGGAACTTCCGTCCCCGAGATGGGGGGCCTGAGGAGTTTGTAAGTAGATTATAATAATTTTCCAGGGAGTTCTGGGTGGGATAATTTATGGCAAGTTCCTTCTGTTCTTTCTGAAATTACTCTTGGAGACAAGAAGAGAGAGTGAAAATTCCCAGGAGGACAGACTGAGCAGAATAGAAGACAGGTAAATGAGAATTTAATAGCTTCTTACAGAACAGTACGTTGGCAGAAAAGATGAAGCACTTACTGAAGCAGTGGCCTTCTCTTTTAACTCCTACCATCTAGCCAGGTAGGACCAGGTATACAATGAAAATACTCCTCTGCAATTCACTCTTTCTAGGTGTTTTACTTCCATGAGCAGCCCTATCCACCAACTGCTGGACATTTTAAGAATCGGGTGGCCTGGGACGGAAATGTAAACCGGAATGATGTCTCCATCATCATCTGGAAACTACAGTTTAATGATAATGGAACGTTCACCTGCCAGGTGAAGAATCCACCGGATGTTGATGGAGTGATAGGGGAGATTCAACTCAGTGTTGTACAGACAGGTAGGTCACCTAGAGGAAAGTGTACTGAGGGAGAGGAAAGCTTTTGGAAGAAAGAGTATCCATCTTCCATGATGGCTGCTAGAAAGATTGAGGGGAGGGGTGGGCTTATTCTATAGAAGGGGTGATAAGAGGTAAAATGAATTCTGAGGCAAAAATAAATACTTTGGCTCAAATTGGAAAAGAAATAGAAAATACATAAGGCAAAAGGATTCAGGGAAATTGTTATAAAAATGTTGAGGTTAAGGGAAGTATAGGGAGAGAAAAGAACTATAAAATTTACACTTTCATGGGGGGGACAGACCAGAAGATAGTCATGCATAATAAAGGTGAATAGACAGCAATGAGGTCTGTGAAGAGATGCTATTTCTTCCCTTCATACCAAGTCTAGTTTAAAATTTTCCCTTCTAAAATCAATCAGATGATAGGAAACCAAGGTAAGATGTGGGAAGAGAGAAGAACTGAGGGAAAGGAGTGTTACATATTTATCTGATGAAGTTAGTAATATCCTTGCAACCCTGGATAGTAATCTAAGCAGAGCCTTTTTTCTATTGTTCCTGAAAGTTTAATCCAAGGGAGTAAGAAAATTTTGCATGTAAAGTGGGGGAGATTTATTATGTTGAAAATACAGCCTCCCATATATTGGGGAGTTTCCATGGTCTGTAGGGTCTTAATATGTCCTTTTTCCTTTGTGCAGTACGTTTCTCTGAGATCTATTTCCTGGCTCTGGCCATTGGCTCTGCCTGTGCACTGATGGTCTTAATAGTAATTGTGGTGGTCCTCTTCCAGCACTCCCGGAAAAGACGGTGGACCAACAGAGGTCATGTGGCAGTTGAAACAGAATCGTAAGACTGGGTACTTGTGGGAAAACTTCTAACACCATCTCATAGTGACTCTCATAGTATTGCTTTTACATAAGTGTACCTGACTTTAGTCAAGAAACCTAAGTGAAAATTCATTAGAAAAAACACATCATCTTTATTTAAACAGAACAAAGTTTATGCTTATTTTGGAAGCTGAAATGACCAGAGTTGGGGGCATTCCTCAAATTAAAACTGTAAGTGTTCATAAAATAGAAAGTAAATGACTATTTTGTCTAACTGGAAAATAAAATATAGTAATAAGAGTCTTGATCCAGTATAGGCATGTCTCCAAACCTGAGAGAAGAAAGCAGTTTTGTAACATTTTCTTTCTTTCAAGAATGGAGAATACATGAGAATGACAACATGAATCAAATGTAAAATGTCTCCCATTGTACTGTGTTGTATTGTGTCACTACTCACTGCATGGTGTTAATATGTTTTTGGTTTATGTTAGTAGGCAAAAGCAATATATTTTTCACTTTAGTTTTTGCTTCATATCTCAGGTAATTGAGAGTTTCCAGAACAAGAAGCTCTAAGATATGCTGGGATTAATGGAAAATTTCCTTCGGCTATTCCAGTACTGACCCACTTGAACCAAATCTGCTCATTCACATCCATGCTGACTTGCTGTAATAGTCTCTTATGAGCCAGTGCTGGACCTTTTTGAGCAAACACTGCCAGAATGTTCTTATTTTCCCTTTATCAAGGTTTTATTCAAATTCAAAATTCAATGCTATCTAGCAGAATGAAGATGAATTCGTCCTTTAAAACACCATAACATTTCCTTCTGAAGATGATGAGAAGCAATTTTTGATATTAAATCTATGTAGGTTCTCTGTCTTCTGATGTCTTCAATCAAAAGGTCAGATAAGTCTCACAGCTGTTTCTGCGTTTTGCCAGAAGTAATTTGAAACATCAAATTGTTGACTTGAAGAGAAGAATGATTTGCTGAGCAATTGCTGACTGCTCAGTTTAATATGATTTTGCAACTCTAATATGCAAACCGAACAAAGGCTCATCTCGAGGCTAGAATCATTACGCAAGTTACCACTGGGATTTGGAAGATGATCATTATACTTCTGGGAGTTTAAGGATAGAAAATTGTAAAAAAGGACCCAAAAGTGGTGATGAAAACTTTATATAGTATTATATTCAGCTCTGAAAAAGTAGGATTATTGCTGGAGTAAAAGAATATTTTTTCATTTGATATTTTTTCTTAGGGTGGAGTAAAAGGGAATTCTAAATCTAGGTTTTATAATGGTTGTGATGATGAAAGGCATTTCTTTTATGAACTAGTACATCACTGGTTTAAAACAAACTTTGTAAGTGGGATTCAGGAAGAAAAGTATCTTCTTAAAAAATGTCCAATTTTCTGTTTTCTCTCAGCTCTAAGCCACAACATTTAAGGTATAGACATCACATGGAAGTTTAAGCACAAGAGTGAATTATGAAGTCTGACTGTTGGCATGTCTTCTTTAGTAAGCAGACTGGTGAATATATTTCTTTTAACAAATGAAATTGGTCCAAGGAGACTACATGTCCTAGGACTTCCAAATGTGCTACTTCAAACTTTAAAGACAGCTGAGCCTTGATTTTGACAGTTAATCAACAATTTGTCTTCATTACTAGATAATTTTCTTCAGATAGATGGTCTGGATAGTGTTTTATAAATGAAATTAAGTTTTTAAAAAATAAATTATCTTTAGTCCTGATTCCAGCAAAACTTGTAGCTTCCTTGTGCCTTGGTTGAAACATAGGAGAAAATTTTACTTACTATTTGGATATCTATCCTAATGGGCCCTTTTGTATTGTAATTTATTTTTTATTAAGCTATAAAAACTCATGTGAATAAATATTACCTTTAGTAATAAAGCATTTTTTCATTATTATTTGCACACACAAAAATAAAAAAGCTTAAAAAAGCATTTAATTCAGAAATCAGATGGGGGTGGGAGTAAATGAAGCTTTTAATTGAAATGAAAAAGTAAAAATTGCCTTAGGATAAATCATTCATTGGAGGTGGATATTACCGGATAAATAAACTAACTTGATTTCTACCTATGATCTTTGCTATCTACAAAGAACGATGACACTTAGCTTCTTCTTGACTGTTTAGAGGTTAAGGAAGTACTATGTTGTCTGTTTTGTATCAACACTTTTAAATTAACCAAAAAGCATATGCAATTACTTACTAGCTCCTAGTCCTCTAGTGAAGCAGGATAAATTGAAAAATAGGAAGCTTCTCAAAACTTAAGGGATATATTGGAAAGAGTCCTGGGCTAATAGTCAGGAAATCCTTGTTTTGGTACCGGTTCTGCCACTTACTAGCCATGTGACTGTGGAAAATCAATTCTCTGACCCTCAGTTTCTTCAATTGTAAAATGTGAGAGTTGGCCTAGATTATATCAGAAGCCTCGGCTCTAACATTCTATTCTCTAGATGCATACTTTTTGTTTCATTTTATTTTCAACAAATACTCTCATGATCTAGTATTGAACAGAAGGACCAGAGTCAATAAAAAGCCGAAGTGCTTGACATACATAAGGCACATTTTTTTCCCCTTGAAAAGGCTGTCATCACCATTCTTTAACTACCTCAAGCCTAGTGATAAACTGCATGACTGGCTTCTTAACTGCAGGGGACGGGTAAATCCCACTTTCTTTTCTTTTTTAAGATGCTATTCCCCTGCTAGCACGAACTTTTCTTGCCCCGCGCTCGGGTAGGTACATACGCACAGCAGATGCACACTCCCCTCGAAGGCAAGGCAGGGTGCTGGTCCTAAGGCCAAGGCAGCAGCTCTTTCAGGTCTCTTCTAACTCTGACAGCCACAATGGGAATATACCCAACAGGTAGCTCAGGTTCTCTAACATCCACCTGAGGCCATCCTGCGGCCCAATAAAGGCCCTTTCCACGCCAGGCTGTGACCAATGCCGCGTAACTCCCTTTCCAGAGGCAATCTGGGCTGCTTCTTTCTCAGGTAGATGAGGAAAGAGGCTTCTCACTCCTAGCTGGGGAAGAGGCGCCTCATAGAATGCTCAGGTGAGCAAGGCCTTAGAGCCACCACGCGTTCCCATGACAACCGCCGGCGGCCATCTTGGTCTCCCTTGGCGTCCGCCCTTCCGATTCGTCATTTCCGGTATTACCTGTGTGGGTCGAGGGAGCCGTAAACAAGGTTTTCGCAGGTATCGGCAGCGGTGCCGGGATGCAGCCGAGCGGTTCGGCTGGAGACCCCTGCCGCGCTTTCTCCCGGCTGCTGGGTCTGCTGTTCTTCCAGGGTGAGTGTGCGGGCTGCTTGCGCCCTACTTCCGGGTGTTTTTTTTTTTAGTGTGTGTGTGGGGGAGGAAGATGGTCGCTCTTCCGCTTCCGGGTGGGGGGTCCCAGAGGGGGCAGGTCCTCTCACGGCCTTGGGTAGTTGGGAAGCTTAAAGGTGAGCACCCCCTCGGATCGTGACCCGGACATGGGGGTGGGGAGGAAATCCGGCGGCGTGCATGGCGCGGGTCGGGGGACGGGGCGGCTCCTGCAGGGGCCCAAGTCCACCTCGCCTTCGAGGGGTGATCATCGTGGGATGGCCGCGGGCTCCGAGAAGCATCGAACGGGGGCTAGGAGGAGTGTGGCCCCCGCGGCCCCTTAAGGGCCTTCACGGTGTCAGAACTCTTAGTACGCATTCCAAGGCGTTACTCCTGTTAGCAATATGAAAGCTCTCCGAGGTCCTCAGTATTTTAAGTGTCGAGGAATCCTAAGACCGAAAAAGATTGAGGGCTGCAGATTTAGTCTCATTTTACAGATGTAATCTAGGTAACTCTCTAGGTAACGCAGGTGTTACAAAGTGGCAGAAACAGCATTCGAACCCAGATGCCTCCCTTCTAATCGAGCACTTTTTTTGGGGGGACCGTGTTTAGGTTCAGAGCCCCAAGAATTTGAGGGAAGGAAATCCTTACAGTTTCTGTTTTTCTTGAGTCTTTGTGAGAGAGTAAGAATGTCCTCATGAAGGTGTCTGTAAAAAATTTTAGGGACTTCAGCTTTGAAATAGTGCAGCAAAATATTATGTTAATTAATTAAAATATTAATTAAAATTAATATGTATGTCTAAATATATAAATGATATATGTAGGTACAAAACATATAGAAATAAAGTTTTCTTAACATTTTGTGGCACATTAGCCTTGATATTTAAGAGATTGAGAATATGCATCTTTTGTTCCAAATTCCCTCCCTCCTTCCTTTCTTCCCTTCCCTTCTCTTTCCTTCCTTCCTTCCTTCCTTCCTTCCTTCCTTCCTTCCTTCCTTCCTTCCTTCCTTCCTTCCTCTCTCCCTCCTTCCTTCCTTCTTACTTCTTCCTTTTTTCCCTCTCCTCCCCCCCAAGGGAATGGCACCGATGCCATCCTAAAACAAAATTATTTGACTTTCATTTTTATGTGTTGAAGAACGTTAATATGGAATATGTTTTTGAGGAAAATATTACTATTGCCCGTTCCAAATTCTTAAGTTTAGAGAAGTTTAAGTTAAGTTTAAAAGTATATAAAATTTTGTTTTAACCCAGGGAATGAATGAAATACCCAACTGTCATTCTTCCTTAGCCCTCCCCTTACTCCCCCTTCCCTTAACTCCCCCTTCCCCCCACTTCTGTTACATTTAATCCCTGGAAGGATAGATGTCAATTCTCTGACAATCCAAATTGTAGTAAATACTTTTTGTTAAAATAATGATCATAGGTGAATACTAGTTTCCTGTAAGTTAAACAGCAGGGAAATTTTTTCTCCTCAAGGAAATTTCTGAAAGGAGGCCCTTAATCCAAAATCATGGTTTCCCAGGTCTCAGAAGTTTAAGGTGGAGTTTTTAATCTGATGACTAATATTCATTTTTCCTGTATACTCCCTGACCCCTCCCAGGTAGTTACCTGTGTCATCACAAGTGTCCAGTTTTTCAACTAAACTCTTTTGCAATACTGTGTTTGGGGTAGCCTACCTTAATTCTGAATTCCCAAGAAAATGCTGTCTCCGTTTTCATGCATAAAGTGTTCAACAGATTTAAATTTAGCAAATATTCATTAGTTGTCTAGTATATGTAGGCTTCTCAGTGTTTGGTTATGTTCAAATGTGGATATAAAGAAAGGAAATGATGGTTGCCAAATAAATTATAGTTAATTTCAAACTGATTTCTAAAATCACGTCAAGTACTTCAAGGTTTCTTTAACTTCAACTGATGTATCCAAATTTACAAATCATATGCTGAATTGTGGATCACCAAAAGGGGTTGTGGAAAGATACTATGGGTTTAAGTAGGCTAGTTGTGCATCAGAAGAGATATACTAATATCAGAATGAATGAAACGGCTGGAAAAAAGGAGAACCTGGTTGTTTAGTGACAATTCACAACCTGTGGGCTTCATTTGTACTTCAAACTTCCCCTGGTTCCCTCTGCTATCTTTTTCTTGTCTCATATTTTATTGAAAAAATTGAGGCCATTAATTGAGAGATCCTTCTCCCTCCTCATCTCACATTCCCCAGATGCCTCCTTACCCTATATCTTACACTCCTGCCTCATATGATGAGGTGGCCCTTCTTACCAAGGCAAACCACCCTGAATGTATGACTGATCCTGTCATCCCTATTCTCTTGCTATCTTGAATCTTCTCTGACTTTTCCACCATGCCCCAGAAAGCTCATTGGGAAAACCACATCATCCTGCAAGATTCCTGGTACTCCACCTCATTACCACCCTCTGTCTCTTGGATTGGAGGGTGGAACCATGAACTCCTCAAACCTCCATTTAAGTAGGGAGCCCAGATCAGATTGTCTTAGTTCTTACCTGGCTGGCTGCACTGTGGGACTTATCTGACTTTTCCATCATGCATCTGTATTGAGTACCTTTCCTGGTGACAACTCTTTCCTCCTTCTTTTCCTCCTTTTATGTGTTGTCTTCCTCTATTAGATTGTAAGCTCTTTGAGGACAGACACTGTTTTTTTTTCTTTCTTTCCCATATTTGTATCCCCATCAGCACAGTGCCTGGCACATAGTGGGTGCTTAAATTGACTATCTCTCCTTTTAGACTGCTGCTTTCCTACTATCTACAAACATGCCTATGTCTCCTTCATCCTCAAAAAACCCTCACTTGATTCTTCCATCCCACTATCATTGCCAGTCTTTCCTCCTTGTGTGGCTAAACTTGAGGAGGCTATCTATAATAGATGGCTCTACTTCCTTTCCTCTTGCTGTCTTCTTAACTCTCTGCAGTCTGGCTTCTGATATCATTATTCCATGAAAACTTCTCTCTTCATAGTTTCTAGTGATTTCTTAATTGTCAAATCCAATAGCCTTTTCCTCAATCCTCATCTTTTTAAATTTCTCTGTAGCCTTCTATACCGTTGACCACTTCTTCTCCTTGATACTCTCTTCTAACTTCCCTGGCTTCCTTCAAGTCTCAGCTAAAATCCTACCTCCAACAAGAAGCCTTTCCCAATTCCACCTTAATCACAGGGCCTTTCCTTTGTTGATTATTTCCTATTTATCCTGTACATAGCTTGTTTGTTTTTTGGTTGTCTCCATTAAAACTGTGAGCTTATCCAGGACAGGGACTATCCTTTACCTTTCTTTGTATCTTAGTGCCTGGAATGTAGCAGGCACTTGAGAAATGTTTATTGACTGACTGATGGCTAGAAATCTAGATTATTGGACTCCCGAGGAGGATTTATGAAAATACAAGGGATGGGGAGGGTGTGTGTGAATGAGTAGATGGGTTGTTAGGGAGAGCTGATATTGGACCAATGTGAGCCACGGGAGCAACAGATCCGTTTCAAACAAAAATTGATAGTTGGCTTCTAGAGCTTTTCTCCTTTCTTTTTGTTTTAAATGTCCTAAGTCGTAGACTTTGGT